TTGCACAAGAAATTGAAATACGACTTCACCGAAAACCCCTTCTGCTTGTCAAATTTCCAAATCCCGCTGTCCCCATTTTCCATCAGCTTAATATTGGTCAAACAACCAAGCAAATTGCAATATTCTTTCACTTCCCAGTCTTTCAGGTCTCTTTTAACCCTCACATTCCAGCTGCCCCCCTCTCCCCACCCTCAAACACTTTCTCCACCATAATGTCTCTCTCTTGAGATCTTAACTTAATTATTAAGTGGGCGATTAATGATTATTCAAATATTGACATATTGCTTTACTCATTGAGATTTGAGATCTCAAATTTTTGTTCTTAACATTATTTCACTAAGTTTTATCTTCAAGTTCTTTTTGTCCTACATCACCGTTCATATAGTCACCAAACACATCCAAAATAGGAAAACAGAATTACTTGCGAAAAAAGAAAATTCTTAATAGGAAATTAGAGTTAGAATTGAAACCACTACACTAGAATAGAGACTAAGTACACTTCTTCATTGTTCTTAACCTCAAAATTGCCAACGTTTATCCTAAGTAACCTAAATATTTCTGATGTAGATAGAAAATCATGCTCACATGTTTATTTTGATGATATCTTTTTAACACTTAAATTCTTCTATTTCAGTGATTTGTTTTTTTGCTTGTATTCTTACTAGAAATAGAATTCTTACTGGGTACGACAACATTTCATCTTGAAACAGTCAGCTGCTCACTTCTTAAAGGAGAAGAGATCTGCTTTTGAACTTGCTCTTTCAATGTCAGAAACTGCTTCTGACATTACTAGTAGTGAAGAATCTGTGGTACCTTTCGTTTATGTGGGGCAGTTTGCTCGTTTGCTTGAGCAAGTAGATGGTTTTGCTATGCAGCCGTAAGTTGAAAACTTAAATCTTTGTTCTATATATGTTTCCATTTTTCAGTTTTTATCTCCTAAATTTTTACATGCTTATGCATAAAATCATTTATGATGGTATTTGATGTGATGATGCTCTCAAGTCTAAATACAAACAGTTCTAAAAGATATTGGATAATTTTTTATTCTTTTCACACTCATATTACAATTTAACCATCATGGTCATTTTTTTTTTTTTTGAGAGAAAAGGATAGACCTAATCAGGGTACTAAGAGGGTATCACCCAATTACAAAATTACATGTTAAGTCAAAATATCAACAATGTCTCCAAGCTGCTCCTCATTAGTGAGAGGATGCCCTTTTACTGAAAACCAAGGATACGGAGCCAATAATCTCTAATCCTTCCAAAAGATAGCACTTCCCTTCAAAAGCTCTTTTCCATTCTTTCCAAATAACCCAAAAAATGAATAGGGGATGAGTGCAAAAATTTTCTTTCTGTTTTCCCCTCCATTATATGTTGCCATACCCAAAGTTCATTAGCCACATAATTCCAAATAGCCCGCTTAATACTGAGAAGATCAAGTGGGTTGTTCCATATAAGATATGCTCGGGGCACCATGGCAAAAGACCTAGGCATCTTCTTTGTCTTTTGGCACAATAACACCTATTCACCAGAATATTTTTTCTTTTTCTCAACTCATCAATGGTAAGAATTTTACTCTAAAATCTGCCTGCCAAGTGAAAAAGCAATTCCAAGAACAACTTTCTTCTTTCAAATCTTCTTCTAAGGAAACTTGCAAGCTGCATTGTAATGATCCCACAAATAATGGTAACACAAGCACAGTGTGAAATTGCCGTTCTTGTTCAATGACCAAAATGGTTCCACTTCATCAAGGGAACTACAGAAGATTTAAGGCAAGAGCTTAGAAAAGGTACCCAGTTCCCAGTCGTTATGGTTGCGGATCAAACCAATGTTCCATACAATCCGATTAGAATTCAATAGGAAGCACTTGTTGACTCTTTCCTCTTTTTCCCTTTGCAATAATAAAGATTTGGACTTGAAAGACATTCATGTGGATAAGAGTTACAACAAGAATCTTGGTCTTATCCCTTTGGCTTCCTTTTGGGTCATAAGAAAAGAAAGGAATAGAAGAGTTTTTGAGAGCATATAATGGTCCTTTGATAGGTTGAAAGATTCTTGGCTTTAGACCCTAGTTTTTCTTATTAGAGGTCATCCCTTTTGTTCTGTGAGAATTAGGTGACTTGATTGACTTGCTGACAGAATTGTGAAGTTTTATACAAGAGTTGCACCCCTTGGTGCTTTTAATACTATATTTTATATTTCAAAAAAAAAAAAATTAAAATAAAGATGTACAGGATCTGTTCGCTTGAGACAAGTGGCGACATCAAATGTCGTTCAGGAATCTCTCACAATGACCAGAGCTGCCCACTTTGAAATGCACAATAGAGAATAACTTGTAACAACCATCTCTAGTGAATTTCTTAACACCCAATCCATGCAAAGCCCTGCTCTATTTACTAATTCCCCCTTCTCATGAGGCTTCTCCACAGAACCCAGAAAATGAAATGAAATTGCTCTTGGTGATCCAAATTACTCCATGAAAGAGATCAAATGGATTCTAGTCCTTTTGCAATTCTAACTAGTACAAGGAGCAATGACATGAGTATGTATAAGTGGATTGGATGTAGTGCTTTTAGTGAGTGTTGCAGTACCACCCTTCTATAGGAACCCCCTCTTCCACCTAGCTAACCGCTTCCAAAATCTGGTGACTCTAGATCCCACATTGTCCTGTCCTCGAAACCAGTTTTGAGGGGGAGGGATGGACCCAAGTAGTTAATCAAAAGATTAGCAATTTTGGAGCGCACAGTACCAGCTAAGTCATCGACATTCACCGCATACCTAAGAGGAACCAACTCAGATTTCCCAAAACTGATTTTCAACCTTAAGATCACCTGGAAGCTCAACAAAATGAATCCAATATGAAAACGGGTCTCCTTGTTGGGTTTAAGGGATAAGAGAGTATCATTAGCAAACAAGATAATGAGGATATGGGAGACGTCGATCCCTTTAGCATCACCCCAACAACCTGGCCTTTAAAGATTAAGAGATTAAGATGTTCAGCCACAAATCAACCAGTGAAGATCTTCTATAACTGCAATAAAGAGAGGCATTTTCTTGTCTCTTCTGGAAGTCGAAAAGAAAGTGGTGAACTTATTATTTCCCATCATAACAAAGGAGGCAAAGGAGATGCATCATTTGATTTGGTTGCAGAGCCAGTCTCTTTAACATGTAAGAGAGGAAGTTCCAAGAAACATGATATATGCCTTTACCTGTTTAGTTTATACAACAAAGCCTTTTTTCCGCTCCTGATAAGAGAGTTCTTCACTTCATTAGCATTGAGGCTGCCTTAATAATTGGCCACCTGTCAATAAAAGCATTATGATAATCAGTGGAGACACTGCCAACCACCTTACTCATCCTCCTAGCTAGCACTTAAGTGGTTACCTTGTACCCACTTCCTACAGGGCTGGAGGACATAAACCCTTACTATTAGAGGCACCTTGAATTTTGGGACCAGAAATAGAGAAGCTAATAATCGATGCTTCCACATAGCTGCCATTGAGAAGAGAATCATCAAAAAGCTTTTAATCATCGTTAATTTTGCGGCAACTACATAGAAGGAAAGCCATTTAGAAATCGTTTGGCGTGAGGGCTTAATAGCCCTTGGAACTCATTAAATCCTCATACACCTCATCCTTGCTGAAACGCTTCTCAACCCACTCCTTATCCACTGTGCCAAGAGACAGAAAGGAAAAGCTGTAGAGGCTGAGTCTCCAAGAAACCTGTTCTGAGTAAAGATTGTCAAAAATACTTTTTACAACATCTTCTTGTCTCCTGTCAATGTCAATTCAATCTAATCCACCATGTTCTCAATGAAATTAGACGTTCTATGTTGACTTGCTAAACAATGTGAGAATTTCTTATTTGTTTCCATTCCTTTA